TGAACGAGATAATTACGCGTGTTCCTGAGGCATGATTTTCATTTTCCATGTTTCTTCCCCCTCTTCCTCTACCCTCAGAATGAATCACGCTCTGTTACCGTGGAAACAATCAATCAACATTACTTAATTTTCACTTCTTTGGCCCCAGAGTGACCAGATGACGCTCACCGACCTCCCAAAGCCCGCGGGTGATGCTCGCCCCCGGCTCGCCCGGTGCTCAGCTCCTGCGGGACCGGGGGCTGCCTCGCTGACTCACTGCCACCAGTAACCTTTCGTTGCAAGGGAAAAACGCAAACTGGCTTTGAGCTTTCTCCCTTCCTGTTTTTTCCTTGTTCTGAGGTACAGAGAAAACTGGGAAAGGTCCCATCCATGCTAAAAAGTGAACAACCCGTCCTGCTTCCACACGTTAAAAGAAACTGGAAAGCGCCGCCCTGGCTGGTTGGGTTACCCCAACGCGTGGAAGCGTTTCCACGGGATGAAAAATGACAGAAGATGATTCAGCTTAACTCCCTCCACGATACCTCTTCTTCTATGGCAAGGTTGGCTTGATGTGAGGTAGAGTGTGCGTTTTACCTAAGTAGCTGTGGAAAGCCCGGACCGTCTAAAAGTGAAACCATACCTTAAGGAGGCCATGCGAATGACCACAGGGGGTCAGCCCAGCTCTCTTCAACAGGGCTCGTAGCAGACGCCTAGGACCTGTGTGGGAACACGGCGCGTTTTGAACCGGCCTCGTCCAGATACATCCTCCCAGTTTCCGGCAGTCAGCAGCCTGGGGACACTCTGACCCGGGACATACATCCGGCTCAACGGCCCCTGAAACCCTCTTCCGTGTCAGCAGCCCAGTAACATTTGGCAGAAGGGCAGCAAAGGGATTGACTTCTCATCAAGGTGGGGCTGCCTGAGCGTTACACCCTCCCCGGGGATGTCTAAGCCCTCCGGCAAAACCCGGGCCGGCCACACAGGGAGGGCAGAACGGTGCTGGCTGGTCGGCTGGTTCTCAGCTCCCCCAACCCAATAACTTTTTCAGTTCTTTAGCTAATTTTAACCACACTGGAAGGAGACACCTATGGTCTTACACACTTTGCAAAGAGTAGGCGGCCATTTAGTGGAGTAGCATTGGATTCGTGCCCCCATCAAGGGGAAACTGGATGGTGGCTCAGCCACTTTGCTCCTGAGAGTCCTCCCAAGAAACGGGTTTCGCTGCTCATAGGAAGCTTGGTGTTGGGCACGTGGCTGCTGCGGAGCTCTCACCTCTCCCCGAGATGTCTCCGAGTCCTGCTCGGTGGCTAGTTTAAGGTCAAGCAATCGGGGCCAGCGAGGAGTCACAGCAGCCAACAAGTAAATCGTCCTGCTGCCTCCGAAGCCAGCACTTGGTTGCTAGAGAGCAAGGGGAAAGTTAAAATAATTCATCTCCGCTTGTGTTGCAAATGCGCTCGCCTCCACCGGTTCCACTGTGGCATATTTTGTCGCAGGGGGAAAAAAAAACCCCAACCAATAAAGTGCTATTCTCTGGCTGCTCCGCTGGAACAAGGCAATTACAAGGCACGGAAACTGCAAATTCATGACCGCGGGACAGTCAGAAAGATGGGAAGGCAGCCATGCACTTGCTTGATGGAAACGCCTGAGTCTGAAACACACCCTGCTTTATGAGGAGAGAAAAAGCTCTTTCCTTTCCTTTGGCCCTATGACACAACGCACTAAGAACGACTAAATCCTTGCCGCGAGAAAACTGTTTATGTTCTGTTTTGGAAACAGATGCTCAGGGCTCGGTATACCCAGGGACTGGTCTCTTTGGTTCTTTTTAACCTCTAATAGATGAGGTTATGGCCACTCACAGCTAAATTGTGAACAAGAGCGGAAATGGCCGAGGTGCGCAGAAGAAATGCATAAAACAGCTCGGTGCGCTTGGAGCTCACGAAGGACCCAGCGTCCTTCGCTCAACCGCAGGCAGGAGAAAGATGCAGCCGTGTCTCCCCAGGTGTTGCCCATGCCTTAGATGGCTAGCGATAAACTAAATACCTCCTAGAGCGTAATAAAGCTGTAGGGGAAAGCTGGCAGCGGAGCTCTGCAGCGATCCAGATGGCCATCTGGAACGTGGGAAATAATGGTATTTCTTTGGGGCTTACGATAACATTAGTGCCGTTATGAAAGAAGAAGTGCGTCTGGAACGTGTCTACCTTGCTGGAAATAATTATCCAATCTTTAGCCAAGAAGCCAAAGATAATTTCAGTGCAGGGGAAAGGGAAGCGTTAGAAAACGCAGATGCGTAGCAACCCCCAGCGCCGACCGGGGAAGCAGAGGATGCTCTTGCAGCCTGCGAGCTGCGGAGGCCGGATGACGCGCGCGTCCTGCATCTTCAGCCCTGCTCAACTCTCCTGACCGTGGCCCGGGAACAGATTTGGTGCAGAAAAATCCCACCTGAAGCTAACAGCGGCGCCGCTCCTTTACGCTCACTTGTCCCATATCCGGCTCCGAGTCAGGCGCAGAGCTTAGAAAAGCTACGGCTCCGGTTTCAGCAAGAAAGCGTCGCTTGTAGGAGCACGTGCCTGCCGCGTGCCCGCGCCTGCCGCGAGCGCGTGGCCCCGGGGCGAGGCCAGCGCGTTACGCAGATCTGCGACGGGTGGAAAAACTCTCCCGAGCCCGTTTTGAGCTCAAAGGCAAAAACATGCGAAACACTTTCAACGTCTCACAGGCTCTGGCCGTGGGAGGAGGTTAAGGCAAACCCTTCGCTGGGGCTCTCGAAACGCCGGATGAATCACCCGTCACTCAATTACCGGGGGCTTAAAAAGCCGTGCGAGGCTCGGCCGGCACCCCAGCTGCTACCTTCCTCAAACAGGCAGGCAAAGCCCCCCGCGAGCACTCAGGAAAACTTTGGAAAAAAATGTTTTTCCTCCCCGACAGCCAGTTTGCATCAGTCCTGACCCGGGCCCAAGCATTAGGCAGTGGCGAGGCTGGGTCCGTCCCCAGGAGCCGGGCGGTTGCTGCTGTCCCCTCCCTCGAGGCTGGGT